CACAGATGCCGGCCAGGGCCACGGGCCCTTCAGATCACAGATGCTGGCCAGGGCCACGGGCCCTTCAGATCACAGATGCCGGCCAGGGCCACGAGCCCTTCAGCTCATGATGCCGGCCAGGGCCACGAGCCCTTCAGCTCACGGATGCCAAGACCCCCGCAATCCCCATAACAAACCTGCCAGGTCAGAATGACTGTATACACGTACAGACGACCCAGCTGAGGCCCCTTCCTCCTTTACCTCCAGAGCACCACCTGAGCACAGAGGTTTTGGGACACAAAGCACCCAGCAGTGAGCAGTGGGGGCACGGCCTAGAATCAGGATCCTGGGCTTCCTATCCCAGGCTCCTGAACCTGCAGGCAGCCGGCCACATGGCAAGAGGAGCCTGGGCAGCTAAAGAATGAGGCGGTCCTGCTTCCCCTACCCCCAATGACCAGCAAGGACACAAAGGCAGCCCAGGATGGGGCCAGCTGCCAGCCACAAGGCCCCTCCAGAATTCAAGGTCCAATGGAGATGCTGAGAGGGCTGATTGCGTGTGTGCTCCCACGGGGTCCGCACACCAGACACAGAGGCCCTGCGGAAAGGCAGCAAGGGGCCCCCATGGGGTCCACACATCAGGATTCGCAACCTGGCTCCCCAACCCCAGCTGACCTCGCTGTGAAGTTAATAGATGGTCTCTGCTGAAGCTCAGCAAGGCCGTCATCTGCGTGCCTCCCACTGTAGCCCACGGACCGGCATGACAGTCTACACCCCATGGGCCACAGCTTCACTCGTGCAAGGACATCCTGGGGGCTGGGATGTCCTAGCCAGGGGCTAGAACTGGGTGTGACCACAGACCCCCGTGGCTGGGGATAAAAGGAGGGACCCTAGATCCCAAGTCGCCTGGGGCCTCGGCAAAGGGAAGAGGACCTTGCCCCAGGGTGCCACGTGGAGGAACTGAGGTAACACTGGGACTGTGGCTGGCAGTGCTGGACATTCAGAAACACATCTACCCAAAACAAACATGGCCCTCACTTCTCCCAGGTCCCAAAAACAAAGTAAACAGAAGGTTCGTGTCTGGCCGCCAAGGACCAGCTCCTCACTGTCACATCCCTGTCCCCCGGGGCCAGGGCCTGACCACTCCACATCACCTGCCTGACTCCTGTCATCACAGTCAACTTTCCGGATTTCAGAAATCCAAACCAGCCAGTGGAGCCTTTCCTGGGGGGCAGGGATGTCTCTCCTACGCACGCCCTTACCCCAGGGTCTGAGACGACATCCCTGATCAAACCCGGCTTTCTGCAGATACACAAAGGCTCAAACTATGGACAGCTTTGTATTAGCTGTAAAGGGTCCAGATTTTGCAGCAAAAGAAAATACCCAGTACCCCCTCGCTTAGCCCACTGTGTCACCAGGAGGGAGGGTGGGCAGGGGGCCAGCAAGGGCTCCATTTTATAGTGCCGGAAGGAGTGGCTGGTGTACGCAGTGGGACTGGATTTGAAGCAAAGGTAGGCACTGGAGGCCGTGCCTTGGGCCGATTCGCGGCACGCCTGCTGGAGGAGCGGAGGGCGCTGATTCAACACTGATTTTCTGGAACCAGAGTTAATAATGGGAGTGTGGTGGCATTGCGGTTACAACCTTACGGAAATCCTCATCTTTCTGATATTTGGACTGAAAGTTCTATGAATGAAATGTGTCTGGAGTTTGCTTCAAGATAATGTGGGGAGTGAAAATGAGTAGGACCTGGAAGAAATGGGCCAGCCCAGGGCGGCCCTCACCTGCGGCAGGGGGAAGCGGCAGAGGGAAGAGGGCACGCTTCCCTTCTCCCTGGGCCCCAAAACAGCACTCCTCATCACACGTTCTGCAGCCTGCGTCCTCACAGCAACTGTGGGGTCCAGGGTTCTGCTATGTACCCACTCTCCACCTTCACGGGGCGGGGAAGAAGCCAAGGAGACTCCTGTGAGCAACTGGGGCAGACGGACTCAGGTGGAGTGACTCGGGCTGGAGGGAAGCCGCAGGGCCAGAGACCCCAGCGCCTTCAAGTCTAGACACGACACACACAGAACCTTCACACTGCAACCCCTCCTTCACCCCGGCACCTGCCCTGCAGGAATGTGCAGCAGAACAGGGTGTGGTCTCCCAGGGGTAAACCCTTACTCCTTTCCTAGGGGAGCAGAGGGCCCCACTCCAGGGCTCACAGGGACACTGGCGGGGCTGGAAGCCAGTCTGCTAGAATGTGAACCTAAAGGGCCCGGGAGCACATTCAGTGCAACAAGAACTAATTTCCCCACTCAGCCCTCCCGTGGTGAAGGGGCTGCCACACAGCCTGCTGACAGCTGCTTTGCTCCAGGGGGGCTCTGCTGTGTGGGCAAGGTCCCATCGGGAAGGCAGCTGGCCACCAGCTTCCTGTCGAAGCAGCAGCCTCACCCTCAGCAAGCGCACTCCACCCCTGGGACCGTGGCAGGGAAGCTGTGGGTCCTTTCGGGACAGGTCCCTTGGGGATAGGTCCAGGGAGCCAGATGTACTACTGCTGCTCTCCCTTGGGCACTGCAGGACAGGGACGGAATTCTGTCTCCCAGAGGAGGAGGCAGGGGCTAAGACTCTCCCTGGGGCACACCTCCCCAGGGCCCACCTCCCCCAGTCTCCCTCTCGGCTGCTCACAAAGCCCATGCTGTGGCACCCACAGGCACTGCCTGCCGGCCCAGCAGAGACAGAGGCAGAGGCAGAGGCAGAGGCCACCCTTGCCAGCCAGGTGAAAGTCGGAGTGAGCAGGCAGCCTACCTTAGACATAAGAGGATCTGAAACTGCCCAGACAGGAAACTCAGGCAAACCACAAAAGTCCTCGAACACCAGGCAAAAACCCAGTGATGAGTGGGTCTGATGAGATCCGCAAGAAGGATCCAGGCCACTTGCAGTGGCTCAGGCCTGTGACCCCAGCACCTTGGGAGGGACAGGAGGATCCCCCGAAGCCAGGAGTTCAAGACCCGCCTTGCAACGTAGTAAGACCCTGATTCTATGAAATTTTTTTTTTTTTTTTTTTTTGGGACGGAGTTTCGCTCTCCTTACCCAGGCTGGAGTGCAATGGCGCGATCTCGGCTCACCGCAACCTCCGCCTCCTGGGTTCAGGCAATTCTCCTGCCTCAGCTTCCTGCCTAGCTGGGATTACAGGCACGCGCCACCATGCCCAGCTAATTTTTTGTATTTTTAGTAGAGACGGGGTTTCACCGTGTTGACCAGGATGGTCTCGATCTCTTGACCTCGTGATCCACCCGCCTCGGCCTCCCAAAGTGCTGGGATTACAGGCTTGAGCCACCGCGCCCGGCCGATTCTATGAAATTTAAAAAAAAATGAGCTAGGCCTTCGCACTGCTGCACTCCAGCCTGGATGTCATGGGGAGACCCTGTCACCAAAAAAAAAAAAAAAAAAAAAAAAGATCTGGAATGCCACGGAGATTTTCCAAGGCAGTCAGCGGGGAGGGCAGTGGCCAGGCTCCCCCAGCACTGACTAGCCCCCTCCCTGGGTCCCCCTCATGCCCCACCCAGGGGGGGGCTCTGTGCTGGACATGGAAGAGACGTTGGCGAGGTGGCCTGGATCCTACCTGTCTTCACCCTTGCCATGTGGCCCTGGGCAGGCAGGCCCTCCCCATCTCCAGCCCAGAAGCTGTGGGTGGTCCCCCCAACCCTTCCCAAGGTCCCTGGACTCTGGCCTTCCTCTCCATAGGGAGCAGGAGGACCTGAATAAAAAGCAGAAATTCAGCCCCCTTCAGGCTGGCCCAGCTAAGAATTCACCAGAAAAGATGCCGAGTCCACGGATGTTTCAGGGCTGCGGACAAACAGGGAGGGAATGGGGATCTGTCCAGCTGCCACCAAATAAAACACCCAGAAAAGCTGGCAGCAGCCCCCCGACCCCTCCTGCAGCTCCCCCCCGACCCCTCCTGCTATTCCATGGCCCTCCTGGGGAGCAGGGACCTGGAGGGGTAGAAGCAGGCACGCCGCCTGGCCAGCACGGCAGCCCAGCCTTCAAGTGCTCCACAGAGGGAGGGTGGAGGGGTGCTGACCCCCACGCCACACCCTGGGGCAGGCAGACCAGCCAAGGGGCAGCAACTGGACCACGGGCCATCTCTAGCCTGGCCTGGCCCCAGAGCACGGAGCTCTCATTTGGGGTCCAGGGAGGGGGAGTCCCAGCTTTCACCAAACAGGCAGGGTTGGGAGGACAGCTTGCCAAGGCCATTCCAGCCATAGCATGGGTCGGGAGGAGCGGTGGCAGGGATGGGCAGGGCTACACAGCTCTGCAGGGACTCAGCCAGACCTGCCAGCTAAAGGGTGGGAGCCAGGGGCACCGGAACTAGGGGCGGGGTGCTGGGAGAAGCAAGGGAGGCCTTTCCCAGGGGCTCCCCATTCCCCAGGGCTCTCCAGCCTTGGGATTTCCATAGCCCTGGGCCTCTGTACCCCAAGGGTCCCCGGGTCCCTGGCTGGGTGGCCCCACTGCTGCACTTCAGCTCCTGGAGCTCTGTCCTGCATCAGCGTTGGGTCAGATGAGCTCCATCTTCCACAGGTGGAGGGGGGCACTCTGAGGTGAGGGGGCAGAAGATCGCCCAGGCAGAAAAGGGCAGAGCCAGCTTGGACAAAGCTGGACATCCATGCCAGGCTCACTGCTGACACCCCATAGCCCCAGAAATCTCAGGATAATGTTGGGGTTGGTGTTGTGATAGGCTGTGGCTGGAGGGAGCTGAGCCCGTGAGAAGGGACCCCAACCTACCGCCCCCACCCCCCCGTCTAACCTGGCCAACCTAGCACCTGTCTCCAGGCCCACGTGGTGACCAGCGGCCACCCTGGGGCCACCCTCCAAGACTTGGGAAACTGGATCTGTTCGGGCAGGGCCATCTTCAGTGACAGACGGAGCCAACTGCCTCCTTCTATGGAGCAAGGAGAGAAGCCGGGGGTTGGGGGCCCCCTGTAGCCCTCGAGGAGCCCCGGGGAGGGTGGTTGGGCATCGTGAGCCACTGCCCCACCCAAGCAGGCATGGCTGGCCATAGTGCCTACTCTCCAGGGGGCTCTGCCCAGTGCCCTGAGCCCCCATGCACAGTGCACCTGCTCTCCAGCAGCTGCCTGGCCGCCTGGTCCAGTAGGGCAGCCCAACCCTGTCCCCAGGCGCTCCAGTGGACTGGAGAGGCTGTCCTGGGGTCTGGCCCTAGACGCACTGAGTGGGTACAGCTGTCAGCACCGCCTTTCCCATGACTGTCCCCCACACCCCACAGTTCTCCCCACTCTGCACCCGCCAGTGCCTTCCAGATCTAAGACCTCGTGCGCCTCCTGCTTTCTGAACCAGGCTCTGTGCTTCTTCTGGCCCCATGGCCCTGGCAGAGCGGCCTATCTGGAGGTTTCCTTTCCTGCCATGACACCCCACAGCCTTCTGGCCACACACTGTCACCTCTTCCAAGCTCCGTCCCCACCTACTTCTCTACCCACTCCTCAAATAGAGAGGACTCAGAGGACACTCTACCTGCATGGGACCCTCACGAGAGGCGTGAGGAGGCCTGAACATCCGTGCACGCTGGGAATGACGAACCTGGCTCCACAAACACCCATGGGGCCCTTCCAAGCCCAGGCCACCTGCCTCATAATCAGGGTCTCCCACAGGCCAGGGAAGGGCAGGAGAGCCACGATTCAGGCAGAGGGCTCTCTTCAGAGAGGCAGTAGGGTGAGGGCAGTACCTGGCCCTGGAGAAGGAAGGGGACACCATGCTCAGAGGGACGTGGCCTCAGGGCCAGGCCCTGGTGCTCCACCAATTCCCACACTTCCTAAAACAAAGTTGCAGCAGGCCTATCCAGCATCCATCTGTCTGCTCCATCTTCTCTCAGCCAGCCTGATGAGAACCAAACTCACAAAACACGCCAGCCGCAGGAGTCAGGCCTGGCCTCACTGCCGTCCCACCCAGACACAGCGAGCCAGGATGAGGGGCCAGCACGGCCGCACCTCTCAGACCCGTCCCCGTGGCATCATGTGGTTATCTCATCTATGTTCTCTACCCACCCCCCAACCACAATTGCCCAGGACTGCAGGACGCCCCCCAGACCTGTTGCTGGGCCAGACTGGAGGCAGAGCTAAGAACACGGAGAGGGCACGCAGCACATCTGCCTTTGAGTCCACAGCCCACAGAGCCACTGTGCTTGATCCCTGCCTCCTTACCCAGCCCCTGGCACCGGTCAGTGTGCAAGGGCTCAATCAGTGTGCCCAGGGCTCCGTCCTGGGGTGTGGGCAGATGGGGGCGGGTGGCACCTTGGACCCGAAGACTCACACAGCTGCCCCTTTGCACATTTTGCCCCCTGTGGGACCATGAGGCCAGGGCTAAAGGGATGCATGGCACACGGAGGGCATCTCCTCAGCCACTTAGATTCTTTTTCCTTCTGCCACATGACAGGTTAGAGCTACAACACTCGGCACTCCTGCACAAGCCAAGCACCGGCACAGACGCATCCCTGCCTCACCCGGAGGCTAACAACGTCCCGCCCCCAAGCCCCAAAGCTCCCAGGTATAGACTCCAAGCCCCAGGTCCTCAAAGGTGCACTGCGGGCGCTCCCTCTGCCCTAGACTCCAGACCTAGCCAGCAGCTGCCTCTGCGGATCACATGTGAGCGCACTGGGCACTCTGGGAAATCCTGTAGCTGGTTAGCAAGCCACACTCAGAAAGACCCGGCTGGTGACCCTAACATCACCGCACCCCCAGTGGGACACTTCTCCAAGTGCTAGAGAAGTCTCTCCCAAACACCTCATTAACTTCTGGCGAACTCAGTACCTTGGGGGCCTGTGGCAAGGAGGGACGTGGGGGCACAATCCAAGCCCCATCTTTCCAACACAAGGCTCCGAAGATCCAGCGTGGAAGTAGCAGGAGAACTGACTCTCAGGAATAGCCACAGGCTGGTCCAAGACGCAGCCAGCCAATAGTACCATGGACGCAACAGCGCCAGAGCCTCCGGCCACACCTGTCTCCACTGCAAACTCAATCAGGAGTGGCCAGAAGACTTACAATTTAAACCATTAACAGGGGAATGGCCCAAAATGTGGCACTTTCTCTTTAAAAGTGCTCTCGGGCAGGTGAGGTGGCTCATACCTGTCATCCCAGCACTTTGAGAGGCCGAGATGGGTGGATCACCTGAGGTCAGAAGTTCAAGACAGGCATAGCCAACATGGCGAAACCCCGTCTCTACAAAAAGATTATATGGGCACAGTGGTGGGCATTTGTAATCCCAGCTACTTGGGAGGCTAAGACAGGGAGAATTGCTTCAACCCAGGACGCAGAGGTTGCAGTGAGTGGAGATCACATCACTAGACTCCTGGGCAACAGATCGAGACTCTGTCTCACAATAAATAAATAAATTAATTAATTAAAATAAAAGAGCTCTCAAGCATCTTGGCCGAGCATGGTGGCTCATGCTTGTAATCCCAGCACTTTGGGAGGCCAAGGAGGGCAGATCACTTAAAGGACATGAGTTCAAGGCCAGTCTTGCCAACATGGCAAAACCACATCTCTACTAAAAATACAAAGATAATAATAATTAATTAAAAATAAATAAATAAAAAAGCCCTCAAGCATCCCAGATAGCAGGAGCCCAGGAACCAGAGCAGGAATGCCTGGGCACAGAGCCCTTGCTTTCACAGAAGGGAGGACAGGTAGAGAATGCCTCATGCTCTGCCACCAGCTAGGCACCTCTACAAGATGGCAGTGACCAACAAAAACACAGGGGCAAGGCCATTCTTGGCAAACCCCGACCCAAACGCACCTGGAGCCCCATCATGTTTTGCCACCTGTACATCTCCTCTGCTCCAACAAGGGAGCAGAGCCACAGGGGTTGGGAAGGCCCCAGGCAGATCCAAAACCTTCTTATGGCAAGCAGCACTGCATTCTGCCATGATTCATGCAGTTACCTTTTAGCTTCAACCAGATATTGGCTTTGTGATGTAAGGGACCTGCTGGCCAGGCATGGTGGCTCAAGCCTATAAACCCAGCACTTTGAGAGATCACGAGGATAGGAGTTCGAGACCAGCCTGGCCAACATAGTGAAACCCCATCTCTACTAAAAATACAAAAAATACAAAACACAAAAAATTAGCCAGGTGTAGTGGCAGGTGCCTGTAATCCCAGCTACTCGGGAGGCTGAGGCAGGAGAATCTTGAAGCCAAGAGGCAGAGGTGGCATTGAATTCATATTGCCACTGCACTCCAGCCTGGGCAACGGCGCGAGACTCCGTCTCAAGAAAAAAATAAAATAAAAAATAAAAAAGGAGCCAGCCTAAGACACGAAATCCCGACAGGTCAGTTATACCTTGATGACCGGTCAAGGAAGTAAGAAGCAGCAGCTCCTTTGACCAACTGCTTTCACTGCTTTGAAAACCAGCAGAACTGCAGGCATGCCCCCCCACCTCCCAGGCAGTAACGCGGAGGGTGTAGGCCCTGGCTCCCCACCCCCCAGCACCCCGTGCATCCACAGCAAAACATGGCTCTTCCCGTCCAGAACTGGGCCCACCAGCGGCTGGATGATACAGCACAGCTGTTAGTTTTGTGCTAATCACCCCACTTGGGAAACTCTGAGCCACCAGGCCTCAGGGAAAGTGGTGGCACTTTCTCGTGGCACTAAGAAGCAGACAAGGCCATCACCACCTGCCTGGTGCACGAGGCTCCCACGGCTGGCACCTCCACAGCCTGGAGGGAGAGAGCAGAGGAAAGGGTGACGGCTGGCTGCAGCAGCAGGCCCAGATGCTGCACTTTCACACCCCCACTTTCACTTTCTGGGTATGACTACACTCCGAGTGTAGGGCAGGGAACCGTGTTTGCAAGTCCTCTCCTTCATTCACAGCTCACTTCCGAACAGGCACGAGCTGTTGTCAAAGGAAAGTAATTACTCTACTTTCTAAAAACAAAACGAAAATAAAAACGGAGCTGACTGCCTACCGGGAGAAGGCTGTTGAAATCCCTCCTCCCCGGATATCCCAGCGGCGGGGCTCAAGGCTGGAGCTGCTCTGACAGTCTTCCCAGGGACAGTCTTCCCAGGCACCCGGTGTCCTGCTGAGGCACTGGGCCTCCGAGAGTCAGAAAGAAATGCCCCTCGCTGGCTTGCAGACCGTCCAGTCAGTGTGTGCCTTATCTTTCCCGATCAGTATCCTCCAGCACATCAAGGCCTCAACAGAGAAAACGGCAAACACAGACCTTTATTTGCAAATGACAGGCTGCATCAGGGCTGCCCGAGAAGGACCAGGAGGGGAGGTCCCTAACCCCTGAGGTCAGCCCCTCGCAGATCTTCAGACCTTCCTTAGACCCCACTGGAAGCCAGCAACAAACTACTCTCCCCAGAAAAATGCCACACAACTTTGCATAGATTTCAGGATCTCTCCAGGGCCACTTCATGGACCCAGGGAAAAAAACAAAAAGTCTTCATTTTAAAGGAAAGAGTAAGGGGAAAAGCCTACATAACAGCAGGGTAAAAAGAAAACTCTTTGCTCTTCTGTTCCTGCTCACGGGGGAGGACGGGACACTCGGAGCTTCCTCCTGCAGTTCCAGCTGGTCACTCGGCCCACCACTGCACGACGCCTCCCCGCCCGGTTAACTTTTGCAGACAATGACCAAGTTTAAGGTAAGCGGGGAAACCCCAGCTACGTATTTCTGAGCAGAAAGCTTTCAACCAAAATGAAGGATCGCAACCACTCAAGGATTGGGTCCAACGGAGGAACTCACGCGACGGACTCCGGGTCTCTGCCCCCGGTGGGTCTCGGTGGGCCGAGTTCTGGGACGCCCGCCCTCGAGGGAAAGGAGGCCGCGCGAAACCCCCATCCCGGCCCTGCCCCCGTACGAGCAACCGGTGGAATGAGACTTCCCGCACGCCCCAGCTTTATTCACAGGGAGCCCACCAGGGCCATGTGGTGTACACGGTTCGGGGTGCGCATTTCTCCCCGAGTGGGCTTGTATCACGTTGTCACTCCGGCGCCCCCCAACAGTGGGAAGCAGGGAAGCACCCCCGTCCCTCCCACTCCAACTCGCCCTCGGCCGGATTAAGCGATTTTCAGACTGATTTCAAAACGGGAACGGGTCTCCCCCTAGCATGGCTGCAAAAATCCGGCAACTCAGAGGGGCTCAAAGTCAGCTCTGGGCCCGAAACTCCGGGAGGAGGCCGCGCAGAGCCCAGGCCCGAGCCTGGCCTTGCCCCCCGCCCCGGCCGCGGAGCGCGGCGACGGTCCCCAGGCGCGGGCCTCAGCAACCGCCCGAGAGCGAGGCCGGCGGGGCGGGCGCGGGGAAAGTGGCGCCGCGGAGCGCACGGCCGAGGCCCGGCGCCGCCGCGCGCACCTTCCCCCTCCGCGTCCTCCCTGGGTTCCCCCCTTCGAAAGATGGCGGGCGGAGGAAAGGGGGAAAAAAATCCCTTCCGTGAGGGAGGGCGCGCGGAGGCCGGGCTGGCGCGGGGCGCGCCAACTCCGGGCTGCGCGCCCCGGCCGCAGCGACGCCCCCGAGCCCGGGACGGAGGCGGCCAGGCGGGAGCGGGCGGAGGAGAGCGGAGCCCGCGCCACCGCCGCCGCCGCCGCCGCCGCGACCCCGGGCGGCCGCCGCGCTTTGTTGCATCGTGGCCGCGCACAAAGGCGGCGGCGGCGGCGGCCCCGGGCGCCCGGTTCCCCCGGACGCCGGCGGCCT